GGGGTGGGAGCGGGACCCGGGTCCGAGCGGCACTCGCGGGGTTCAGTGTTCCGGGCGGTCTCAGCACCGCGGGGTCACGGGCGGCAGTTAAACACCCCTGTGGATCGGTCGGAGGGAGAAGGAAGGTGGAGGACAGAGCGTCACAACATCCTTGTTATTGTGATCACTGCAAACCAGATCAGCGTTATCTTCCAACCTTAATGGCTGGTTCTGGATGAGATCTGAGAGTCCTGAGCAGCTCAGTAAGCTTTGCAGAGCACGTTTTCATTTCTCCTCTAACACCGGCTGTTGTACACTTCATTTCCCGCTTAGTTAAGAAATTAACTGTAAAGCTAAAGCCAGCTGTTCTGTCCAGCCCTGTATATAGAGCCTGTTGCAAAGTTCTCAGCATCACTGAAGGACTCAGCATCTCATCATGGAGAAAACAATTAACTGCTGGTTTGGTTTTTATTTGTTTTGTGTTGTGTTTTTCCCCCCCCAGTGACTATCACAAGAAACAAAATGCCCTCAGAGCACTTCAAAAGAAAGCTCTGGACAAGAATCCTGATGAGTTCTACTTTAAAATGATACATGCTGAACTCAAGGTAAGAATCAAAATTGCCTTCAAGCAGGGTTATGTTACTCTTGAGTAACAATATTTTTTTCCTACCTTGTTTTATTTTTAATTTATGAATTAGTAATACATTAGCAGACTTGGTTTGGTGCCTGTAGAAGGCTTCAAAGAAAAAGAGGTGCAAAGGACAAAAAGGTTATTTTGCTTTTATCATTAGGTAGACTCTAGGTGGAGTGGTGTCTATCAGTGCTGTGTTCTGTCTGGTTTTAGGATGGAGTTCATATCATAAAGCAGCAGAAGGATGAAGTGACCCCTGAACAGGTGAAGCTGATGAGGACACAGGATATCAAGTATGTGGAAATGAAAAGGGTTGCAGAAGCCAAGGTAATACTTCACTTTTTTAATGCTTCCCAGTTTGCTCAGAATTGTTCTTTTTATTGTGGTTTGGTTTTGGCTACAGTATTTATGTTTAGTGAAATCTGATTTGTGTCATACTGGAATTTATAGATGGAAATGTCAGTGGAGCTCTGGCTGTAGAACCTAAAGGTATTTTGAATAATAAAAACTGTACTGTGCATTACTATAAAACATGACGATTTCTTATGTAAATTCCAGACATACAGGTACTCTTGCTTCTCATTTTTATGAAGAATTGAGCATTATTGTTACTGAAGTGGGTTGCAATGCAGAATTGAGCATTATTGTTACTGAAGTGGGTTGTTTGAATATGGTGGGCAATCAACAGAGATGGGACCCACCTCTGAAAATGTTTTATGGTCTAATGTTGATCAACATTCCATCACTGCAGAAAAATAAAAGAAAGTCAGCCATGACTTTTCCTTCATACTTCTGCTACTGATTTCATGGTAACCATTCCTACTTAGTCTGACATACTGATAACTTACTGTTTTGAAAATTGATTTGTACATACTTGGCTGCATAATACTGGAAATTACTGTTAACCCCTGCTGGAAAATGTTGTGAAGACATGGCATAAATATAGACCAGATATATTTTCAAAGATTAAACAGAAGAGTGTTCAGATGCTCAAGAAACAAACACGAATTTAGTCGAGGAAGACATTCTTTACCTCTTTATGGATGTTTGCAGAACAGATTAGTTTTCTTTCCCGTAGAAAATCGAGCGGCTGAAGTCGGAGCTCCATCTCCTGGATGCGGAGGGGAAGAGCCCAAATAAGCACGTGTTCTTTTTTGATACGAAAAAAGAAGGTAAGACTTTAAACAGGTTTTATCAAACTTGTTCTGTGATGTTTTACTGTCAGCTCGTTGAAATAGTATGGTGCTTTCTTTATGCTGTTAACATGAAATAAGATACATTTTTTTCAGGAGTAATAATTCAAGTGCTCTAGAAATCTCTTGATTACCAGATAAGACCTCAGTTCTGCTGGAGCTTCCATCACTGGCTGTGCTTAAGCCTCATGTTTGGAAGGTTTGCTGAGTATTAATCCAAGAAGTGCATGAGTTTATTCCTAAATTTCTTTATAGTTCAGGAGTTTGATATTGCAACTCACCTGGATACTGTTCCAGAGCTCGTTAGTAGAGTGTACAACCGACCAACCATCGCAACGCTGCAGAGAGAGACGCTGAGAGGAGCTACAGACCCTGCCCACTTAAAGGTACTTTGTGCTGCCCTTATTTGTATTATGGTTTTCTTAATGTTTTACAGCTTTTGTCTAATAAGCTCTAAAGAGGATTCATTGGACTGTTGTGGAGGAGAACAAAGTTGTTCTTTTGTCTTAGAATTTTTATTGGTGACACACAAGTGGATGTCACTTCCTGGCTTTCCTAATTTAAGGTATTTCAGGACCCTTCAGGATGAATTGCTTAAACAGTCAACTTTGATTTTAATCTTTTAGTATCACAGCAATTTGGTCCTAGAAGTAGCTACACTTGGCTTTAACACTGTAAATACCTCTTAATTAGTTTAGAGATAAATCGAGCAGTCCTATAAGCTTGAGTTGATGTAAGGTAAAAATAAAATTGTTTAAAATTGCTGATTGGTAAATTTGTAACCTGTTGTTTTCTGAATCAGATGTCAGATAATAAATACCCGGTGGTCCTTTTTTCTTGCCAGCTTTCTCAGTTTGGCTTGTCAGTAAAGCAGTTGAACAAGTTGTAGACTGACAAGTTTTCTCTAAATGTCTGAGTCATATTTTAAGCATGTTGGGATCTGTTCTCCTTAATTTAATTAGTTAAATCACACCTGCAGTAGTACCATTTTTGTGCTGGGAAAGCCATCCACTGTCAGTAGGTAAACGTGACTAAAGTTGCATTTTGGGAGGCCTCTCTGCAATTTCTAAGCACTTCAGAAATTGGTCTCTGGTATTTTTTTTATTATTATATTTCCCCCTCTAGATAAACTGAGTTTTCGTTACAGGGTTAAATGTTATCTTGTACTCAACATTGAAATTCAGAGGATTTAGAAAAATGAAATTCCAGCCACTTACCCAGCAACTATCTAGGTTAGAAGTTTGGTTTTGCATGCTTGTATTTAGGAGATTAAAACAAGCATAAAGAAATAAACCCTAACTAGAAAATCTCTAGTATGAGAATCAAGATACTGAAACTGTTCTTTGGGATCTAGCCACAGAACTGAAGCAGTGTTCTGTATTGATGATGATTTAAGAATGTAAAACATTTTTTAGGTCCAAGTCCCTCAGAATAGGTCAGCTACAGGCCATAGAACATTGTTCCTCTCTGTCTTAAAGATGCCTTTTTTTTCTCTCCAGAAATTAGCTCAGCAAAGGAAGAATCAGTATGACCTGCTGAAACAGCGCATCGAAAGAGAAAAGGCCATGTTTGTTGTTGCACAGAAAATTCAGACACGTAAAGATCTTTTGGTGAGGGATTTAGTTCTGGTTCTTTGAATATGTTTTGTTAAGGTCATGAGGTCTAATTTTGTATGTATTCATTTCTTTTCTAAGGTGTAAAGGGCAGACAGAAGTAGAATTCCCACCTAAAAAAGTGGAAAGTGACCATTTTTCACTAATGTCTTGTCAGTTCCAGATGGGAACTTTCTTACTTATACAAGAGTGGGCTATTTTTTCTTTTGCATGCCAGCAAATTTTTTTTTTTTCTCATTTTTTTCAGGACAAAACTCATAAAGTAAAGGTGAAGAAAGAGACAACAAGTGGTCCAGCTATTTACAAATTCAAGTTTCAGCGGAAACGTTAACCCTTCCTTTAAATAATTGTTACCATCTTTGCTTAGAAAGAGGATTCTCCTTATGAAGAAGGACTGATACCCTGTATCAGTTTGTTTTTTTCACTGCATCCTAGCACTTTGTTAAAATAAATTAGTGTGGGCCTGTGATAGCCATAAATATATTTTATCTAATTAATTGATTAATAAAGCAGAGAATTTGTTCTCTTGGTATTTACAATGGGAAGCCACAAGAGGTGCCTGAATGTCCTTGTAATATGCACCATAAACAATCCTTGAAAAGTCAAGGTCAGAATGAAGAGACTGGGAGATGCATTGCACAGCAGATGGACAGGAAAGCTGCTCTGGGATTGGACATGGCACTTCCAAAAGTGTGAGAGATTTCAGATCAACTTGTTTAGCGATCTCTTCAAGCAGGTTAAAGTTGAATTATCTTTCTAACCACTCCCCCCTCCATCTTTAATTTTCCCATTCTGCTTTATCTACACAAAATGATTTAACTTTAAAGCACGAGAGTTAGAGGCAACGCTAAAGGCACATGGGTAAATTCAGGCACTGTGCTCGCCAGGCTGTTCTGAAAGGGTGCTGGCAGCAGAAACTTGCTTCCAGTGTATGGAAAGAAGAAAAACCTTACCTTTCTAAATGATTTCTGTACCTGAGAAGCTGTTTGCGCCTTTTTTCTTTCTCCTGTCAGATGGTTAGAGCCCATGCCATGCCGAATTTCCAGTGTGCTTTCCAAGTGTGATCAGGGGTGATACTGAAATTCACATAGAGGGAGAGACAACACGAGAGCCAACTGTGGGACAAAAGTTTGTCCTCTGTTTATGTTACGTTTGTTGCAGCCTTGGTAGTTGGAAGGGGGTTGCAGCTAAGAAAAATAAGACACATCCTGGAGTGTCCTGGAGCAGTTTGGGCATGTTGGGAGAACTTGGGCGTAAACATTCCTTCTCTTATCTGTCTCACACATACTGTATCTGCCAATAAGCAGCACATGCCCATGCAAGATAATGAAGAAAAGAGATGCTCTTCTCAAGGCTTCCCACCTTGGGAGTTTTCCTGGCTTCTCTTAGATGAAAAGCGACTTTTACACGTGCAAAAATGCAGGTTCAGACCTTGTTTCTGCAATTGCGAAGGATCCCAAGGGGGGGCAGCAGCGGCCCGCGGCAGGGACGGGGATGGGACAACACCCAGCAATGTTCCGAGTAAATCCTGCAAGACGTCTTGCTGCATGGACCCTGACCACGAAACCCCAGGTACAAATCCAGTCAGCTGTGGGGTGGTTTATCATCTTGTGGCCACAAGAGACTAAAAGCAGGTGCCAGCTCTGGTGCACAAACATGTTCTAGGATTTGGTGGGTGCTGATCACTGACCTTCCACGCTCACACGGCCCCAGAGCTCTCAACAGCTACCTGCAAAAAACCCTGCACTGTCTCCAAGAACAAAACCAAAGTTATTTTATCTTACCAACATCCATCGTTGTGTTTCACAGTATTGCTGTGGCTCAGTGTCCAGAGAAACATTCAGACAGTTGGCACCGGTTACACACTTGGTGCCAAGACCTGGCTCCCTGCAGCACAGATGTATGGGAAATGGGCTGCCTGCTGGAAGAGAGAATCCATTTTTATTTACCTTGGCAGACAAACCTACACAGTTTTGAAAGTGCGGGGAGCAAAAATGGTGCCCAGGTTCTGTTTGGAGTTTTCTCAGGAAGAACCCCAAACCCATTTCACATCTTGAAAGAGACTGGACAGGAACTATCTGAACTCAAATATTTAAGAAAGCCCATAATTTGTGAGCAGGGTTATAGTTTGCTGTGGCAGCAGACAGTTCTGGTGCAGGGCAGTGTTCCTGTGGGTCAGTCACCTAACAGCTTCCTCCTAGGCACATTCCAAAAAGCCAAACCCTTCCCTTCAGTTCATCCCTTGGACCAGGCTCTTGGTTTGATGCCCATAGCCCTTAACTTCCTTTACTTACCCTAAAGCACTGAAATCTTTCTGCAAGGGCCTGGGAAGGATCAGTATCTTGCAACTGAACAAAACACCCAGACCACTTGACTGCAGTGTGAGATTTGAAAGGAGATGTTCGTGGGATTGGCCATCTTCTAGCTGGACCCTTGTGGGGAAAGACAGAGAAACAGCCCACAGCTATTGCTGCGTGGTATAACTGTAGTATCAAAGGCTGAACCAACAGGTTCTTTAGCAAGAAGATTCCCTGCAGCTTGCAAGAAACAGATATTAAAACACCCCACAGATTCACAGCTCAGATTTCAGGTGACTCAGAGTAATATTGTGCCATATAATAAATTAATGTAATTCCTTGTTTGAGCTGAAGAACTCAATTGATAACAACTGTCTATAAAATACCAGGCTACATTAAAGTGCTTGCAGGATTATCTCTCAGCAACTGCAACAATATACTGCTAGAAGGAGAACCATCACCAGCCCTTGGGCTTCATGGGTGGTTTCCTGCAGGCCCCATTTTCCAAGCCTGAAGCAGACTGGAGACCAGCACAGTGGGATGTCTCACCCCATTCCTGGAGCACAGCTACAAAGCCAGAAGCCAACATGCCAGGGGATGGTCTGGAGCTCCCATGGGCAGCTGAAGGGACATCAAAAATCCCAGAGCCCTCCTCGCTGCTCTTTCAGCAGGGAGGGTGTGATCCCACCACCCCACTGCCCCTGTCATACCATGTGGTGCTCACCGTGCATCTGGCAGTTGGACAGCCTGGACAGAGTCCCAGCAGCTCCCACTCTCATCCAGGCACTGCTGTCCCAGTTCTCCAGCAGGATGGTGGTCCAGGCCTGAGATCAATGGTGTTTCTGGCTGGCAGGACTGGTGGCCCTGGCTCTGACTGTTACTGAGACTCTGCTGTCCTTACAGCCAGGTTCAGCTGAGGTGACTTGCCCAAGGGCACCAAGGAGAAAGGGTGGTGGAATTTCTCCACTCAAGCCCAAGCAGTTTCACAGCAGGGAGTTGAAAGAACAGGATGTAAATCAGGAATGACTAATTGCTGCTCAACATGACTGCCCTAAACCTCTCTTCCACAGCTCCTTGGCCACCCAGACCTTCCCACCCTAGCTAGGAGCAGCATAGGGGCTGCTAAGAGCCAGGAACAGGCTGGACACAGGGAATCAGCTCCATTCCCAATGCCACACGCTTGGACACAACCCACTGTTTCCCTCCAAACAAGATGTTCATGCTCAAATTAAATTACAGAGGGTTTCAAATAAATACCTGCTGCTGCCTCTTTTGGGAAAAGCCAGGCAGCCGAGCAGCCCTACTGCTATGCAAGGTGAAAGCAGCAAGTATTTGCTTTGCCATCTCTACAGCTATATACCCAAAGCTTTTAGTACCTTGAGAGAATCAAGGTAAGCAGCATTGCTCTGGGTGGGTAGGAGCCCATTATTTAGTGAGAACATATTCCCAGGACGTTCCTGGCCTGGCAGACTTAAAGACTGAAATAGTAAGTTAGTGCATATAATCACTTACTGAAGCACAAGCCCTGATGCACCTTTCTAGGGAAGTTCTAATTTATTATGCATTGTCATTAGCTGCAGCAGGGCCTTCATTAGAGCTAGAGTTAAGGTCTGTTTTGGCTGCCTCATCAGCATCAGTGAACTGCGTCCCTACGAGGTTTGATACAATTTAATTAACCTAATTAAAAGCTCTGATTGCAGAGATGATTGGGGTAGAGCCAGCAGCAACTGCATATTTATAACGAGCTGGAAGGTGTGGGACTGAAGCCAAATGATATGCATCTCTAATGAGCTGGTGCTATTGAAGTGTGGATTTGGAACACTAACATTTATTTTTGGCAACAATGGCCAGTTTATCTTCATGATAGAAATGATCAGCGCTTGATTGTACATAGCAGGGAGCTCAGCATTGTACTCCCTGGGCTTCTCCAGCTCAGTGGCAGCCCCACACCAGCACCCCAGAGCGTAGCTGCTCCCCACTGATCCCCCAGCAGAGCATCCACACCTCAGCATACACCAACCCCCACACCTACCTACCAGAGACAGCACACAGCACTGGTGAACCCTCACTGTGTGTTAGCAGCCCAGACCAACACCGTGGAAGGTGCCAGCAGCTTTCTCCCCAGCCACCTCCTTCACCAGCCTTCCCACCCCTGTCTTCTCTGACTCACAGTCAGACTGGACTCCTAGAACAAAGAACCTACCTCCATTACTCCTCCAGGCACCAAATACCCCATGCTCTAATCTTCAGTTGAGCACCAGCACCCAGAAGAAAGAGCAGCACAAAATGGAGACCCACCTCTTGCAGCCACATTGGGGGCTTTAAGGCTTCTGCTGCCTGTGCAGCAGATTACACTGCAGATTTACACTGATTGGGCTGAGCCGGAGGCTGGCTAAGCAGCAGCACCTGGCCCACCCTCCACAGCTGTCAGCCCCTCACAGCTGGGTCAGGTGCCAGCAGCCCAGGGCAGCAGCTGTGGCTCTGCTTGATGGAGAGATGGCCATGACCTTTCTCTCTATGTTTAAAGGCTACAAACCGTACTCAAACCTGAGGCAAGATGTGGCACCAGCTCTCATCCCCCGGGACCCACAGGGATGTCCTGGCACAGGGCCTGGAGCTCTGCCCATGGCAGCCCTGCTGTGGCTGTCACTCGCAGCCCCACCAGAGCAGGGGGTCCTGGGTGCTCCCAGGGGCCGTGGGGCTGCAGGCAGGCAGGGCACAGCCGCAGTTGCCTGCTGCTAAGCTGTGGGCAGAAGTCGGGTGTCCTGGGTATCCAAGGTACAGCAGCAAGTCTGCTGAGCCACTTGGAACATTTGATCCATGCTAATTATGCTGAAAAAAAGCCCTTCTGATAATGAGTATGAAATGGATGTGTAGATAATACTCATCTCTGAGTGCCATTAATCTTTAAAACTGGAACAATAAGTGAAAACACTGCAGGGCATATGAAGCAAGGTGTGATTCACATCTGCTCCTCTGTGGCCGCCGCCTGATTTATTGGCACAAGGCAACTTTCCTGCACGGTTTCAACAGA